TATTCCTTTCATCTTAACCCAATGCTTTTTTTAGTCCATTCCATTTCCGTCTCAAGACTTCCCTCTCGTTCTCGCTTTCCGCATATCGCATTTTAATCTCAATCAACATATTTTCTAAATTAGCCAACTGATCTTCTAACTGCGTATTACGAGTAACCAACTCCATATTCTTCGACGCTAAAGAGTTCATCTCTTCGCGTACCCGATTTTCAACCTGTACGGGAGTAACCTCCAATGATTTCCGAAGATCACTGACAGTATGATGAAGCGTATCATTTTCATCCTTTACTTTAGCCAATTCAATCTTTGTGTTTATCAGTTCGTTGGCAAGATCAATGTGCTCTCGGTTAAGCGTTTGTAAAGAGCCCTCTAATTGTTTGACTTGTTGCGACAGTTGATTGTTGGAGACACGTAGTCGTTCCATGGCGATTGTTTCAGCGGATCTTGCTTGTCTCTCGGTTTCTTGATAGGCGAGGTATTGTTGTTGATATTTTTGGAGTTTTTTTATGGTTATTCGGATTTGGTAAGCATCTTGAACAAATTCGTTTGTATTGTATTGAATTTCTTTGTTTTTATTATTTGTATTATTTGCTTCATTTGGATTGATCTTTGTTTTATATAAATAGTTATTGTTATATATATTTATGGCGAAATTAAAAATTGGATGTTAAAGTTAAAAAATTACCTGATAACTGGTGTATAGTCCACTCTTCAAAAATTCCAATAACTTTTCAAATTCCATATGTACAAGTCTATCTTCGTTCCTCTTTAGCAATGCAATGCTAAATCGGAAAAGTGCCTCAATGCCTTCCGTGAATATTGTATCATAAATCCTCAATACGAGGGACAGCGGGAATTTATAGGCAAAGAGGGTCATAAACCACTGTGATGCGTACATGGATGAATTAACACCTTGTGCCTGAAGGTGTTGATGAACCTTGGGAAGCATCTCCTCCACAAGGCGATCAAATTGGAAAAGACGAAGTTGCAAGCCATCCATACCCGGTAGAAAATGTCCTCGCATATTATAAAAAGTCATAAGGCGAACAAGAACACAGAATGCTTCTTCATCTGGCATCTATTCGTTTAATTCAATCTCCGATTAACATGATAAACAATACATAATATAGTACAATGTATTATAGAATTCTTACGTGAAGTAATAATGGCCCGACAACAAAAGATATTCCCTGGCAATAGCCAACCTCTTTATCAAACAACGAATAAGCTTTCACCACATTAAATAATCCTTCTTGACCAATTCCATTCTGGTCTTGAAAATATTCATGCTTAGGAAAAGTTCGATTCAGGTCTCTCATAATCAATTTCTCGTGAACGCTGGTCTCTTTGAGGAGTTGTGCATAAGTAGACTCTAACTCGGAGTCTTTTGATTTCGACATCAGTTGCCATATCATTCCTCTTAATGCTGGTGGAATTCCTTTTTGAATCATTCGCGATAGTTGACGAGGTTGTGACTTGGCGACTGTTTCATAGTCGGAAATAATCAATCCCCAAAAGTCTAATTATCAAGTTAATTAATAAATTAATAAATAGATAAATAAATAAATAGAGATTATATCAAACATATCTTTAGAAATATTCACAAAAATAATTACCCCAATCAATATTATCGACCGCTTCTTTATCCGTGATATTATTTTGCACACGTTCGAAACTTTTCTTTATTTCTTCCATTCCTTGCAATGATAGTCTTCTCGCTCGTGGATTTGTTGTCATAATTTCATTTTCTTTATCTATTTTATTTAATAATAAATCATAATTTGAATTCTGAGATATTAATGACGCGTTAGATAAACGACGCATGTCAGTTTCGGGAACGGATGTTGTTGAAGAGTGTCCAGAACGTAAGCTGAACAAAGAAGTAAAAGAGCGACTTGAAGTAGGTGTTTTCGGGTTCATTGTATCCCCGTGACTATCGGCGTCTTCAGTATGATGAAGATTTTCAGTAGTTGGAGTTGAAGGAGAAGAGAACGAGCTAATAAATGAAGTTAAAGATTTAACAGGTGCTTGAAGATTTTTTGAGAAACTCCATCCGACGCTTTCTTCCTCTTGCTCTGTATCATCATCCAATGAAATCTCATTCAAATGAGGATTCTCTCCCAGAGAAGCAACAGACATTCGATTGTTTGATTCTTCCTTTTGTTCTAGTTGTTGTTGTTCCTCTATTTCCTCGATAACTTCAATTGCAATAGGTCTCTTTAGATCTACGTGTTGAAGCGAAGATATTGACGAGACACTAGATTTCGATGATTTTCTTTCATGTGAAAAATTAGAAGAGTAAGATGATAAAGATGAAGACGTGCTCGAATTATTCTCTGGTTCTTTCGAGAAACTTTCACTTAACGTAGGACTAGTTGTCAAATTTGCACTATCAATACTAGATTCTGAAATATATTTGGAAGAAGCAACAGCTTCACCGGGAGAGTCTAGATGACTGGGAATAAATATACTAGATGACTCATTGTCATTGTGTTCTTCCACTTTTTCATTTTCGGTTTTGTCAACGTCAACTTTCAAGTCACTTTCATTCTTCAATTCAACAATCTCTTTAGTGTTCTCCGATAATTCCTCATTATCTGACGAGAGATCACTTGTATGATCTGTTATTGTATTGTCAGTAGTGCTGCTGCTGCTGCTGCTGCTACCGCTGGTAGAGTCAGAATGAAAAGAGTTGTTAATAGAACTATGATTTTCAGTGTCTGGCTGTTCTTTTGCTACAACAGAATCTTTAATTGCTGTATCCAACAAAACATCACTCGATTCTTCGTCTTCCTCGTCTAAAGAGTTGTAATTCGAGACTCCTTCGTAGATAGAAGAGCTAATTGATAATTGTTTTTTAATTTTGCTTTCATTGTCGTCGTTTGCCGAAGAGGCTTCCGAATCACGTTTATTACTGCTGATAACACCACTACTACTATACACCGAAGAGCTAATAGAGGCTCGTTCAACATGTTTCACTTCATTTTCACTATCCCTACGATTACTACTACTATTAATAGTATAATCATCAATCTCAAAGGTCTCCTCTTCTTCCTCCACCTCTTCTTCCACTACTTCTTCCTTCTCCATCTCTTCTACTTTATCGATATTTGCTTGTTGTTCTAGTTCTTTATCAAGCGGTTTCGTTGTGGTATCTTCTTCAACCCCAAAGTTTTCAGTTTGCATGATGTGAGGTGTAACTTCTTGGTCAACAACTTGCGCACCGGTCGCCATTATTGAAAAAAAGAGAGGGAGTTTCTAGAAAAATGAAAAAAAAGTTATACGACGAGACAAGTAAGGCAAGTCACTATATTTCTTTGTTTA